CTAAGCTCTCGACCTGCCCCTGTAGCGTGTCGAGTATCTCCCCTTTCGATCCTCATATCAATTTTACGTTTGGAACGCGAAACAACATTTATCGTCGTCCTTAGAGATGTACAGTGTTTCGATCACAGAGAATATACGTGTATATATATATATTTTTTTTTTTATCTTTTCTATTTTTATCTCTTCTTATAATGTTTACGTTACTTAACAGTTCTTAATTCTCATTATGCCTTCAATTCTCTTGTCTCTCTTTCTCCTCTGCTGTATAATCTTTCATTTCGCTGGTCTTCTCTTTGTCGTTCGTGTCGAAAATTTACGAACTCGCCCGAGAGGTACTTCGGTACTTCGGTATAAATGGCAGAGAAGAGATCGGTCAGGTTGAACAGTGAGGATAAAAGAGGGAGAGACGAGGACATCCTACTTAAAGCGAGTAGTCTGGTGCGACAGGGATGGAATTAGAGAGCGAAGTAGACCGAGAGAAACAGGGAGGGAGAGAGAGAGAGAGAGAGAGAGAGAGAGAGAGAGAGAGAGAGAATAAAGAGCATCAATAAAGTGAGAAGGGCTATATGTGTTGTATGCACTACTCAGTGCTGTATGCACTACTCATATGACAATACCATTGTTACTCAATTTTTCAATTTTATCAAGGAATTGTAATCGATAAAAGGCAAAATATTTTATTTTGTGAATTCTTATAGTGCTTGAAATCCATTTTATTTTCCATAATTATTTTATTACATTTTCTCTCTCTCTGTGTATGAATTTTAGAATATTTTATTACAATAATTACAATAGTAGAACACTATCTCAAATAGAACATCCGGAATTCTGACTTTGCGTCATTTATTATTGCAATTTCCTTTTTTATCATTACACATATATATATATGCGCTAGTTAATGTTTTTTACGATTCGAATGTCAATTCTTGTGCGTTACGACCAAGATATAACTCGTGCTATAATGTCACATCGACACAATTTGAATCGGTCAACTGATAAAAACAACACGTAATACGATCGTTATAATATAACATCGATGCAATTTTAATTGGCACATCATATAAACTGCGCCATACAATGTACTGCGTTACAAGCAGTTCGAAAATAGTGTTAAAATAAAATTATGTTATATATATCGATAAAGTTTTTCATTATATCCACAAATGCATGCAATATTTACTCTAATAATACATTGATGCAATTTTGATTAATTATTCATTTCGTACGAAACGTGGCACAATGTCTTTCAAGTTGATTTTATACACTCTTGCACACATTGCCTCGTTTTATTAAATGTATAAATTTATTGAATTTAAATACCTGACTTTCAAAGTATATAATAACGAAGTTCAAATGCGACGAGTGAAATATAATCGGTTATAGTAATTTTTGAAAGTTTCTATGAAAATTGAAATAGGAGAAATATCGGCAAGAATGAAGAAAAAAAAACAATAGTGAATCACGAAAGTGAATAAATTTAACTCATAAAGAATTAATAGGGTGATCAACTTACGATTTATTTTACATAATTATCATTACAATCATTTTAGATAAGAGAGAAATTATTATATCGTGCATCATATATTCTCATTGCGAAACATATAATTTCAATAATGAAATTATATGAGAAGTATGACACATAAGAAAAATATTTTTCAAGAATTATATGCCTCACGAGCGGTTGAGCATAGCGACATTAACTTGCGAAAGCACTCGACTAGCGATGATAGTTTTTCACGTCGCGCCCACATCCTGTAAACACTCATTGGTTCTCCACGGAAGGGATCCCACCTGGTACATATACATTAGATACGCTCCTGGTAAACATGAGAAAGAGAGAGAGAGAGAGAGAGAGAGAGAGAGAGAGAGAGAGGCTGGCCTCACCTAGCAAGAGAACCTCCAGTCTTGTCGAGAGTTCCGTGGCGGTCGGCGAGCGTTGCGATTAATAGCGACTGCACTCGCGAATCGCATTCCGATCTCGCGATTTCCAGTTCGGAGTTTGCGTCCGCGGAGGATCTCTCTCTCTCTCTCTCTCTCTCTCTTTCTCTCTCTCCCTCTCTCGCTCTGTAGAGATGCGGTCGCGTCGGTCATAAATCGAGAAAACACTAGGGAGAAACTTATAAAATGAATAATATCAAGACGGTGTCGGAACTGTCACTCGTCCGATGGTATTAGTTTTGAAACGTGAGGTCTGTGCCGAATATCGGAATTCGCGGATCGGCGCGTCGCGCCGCGATCCGATCGA